ACGTTCCTGGTGTCCTCTGTGACATTAATGGTATCATTTCACGTACCAGAAGCAACGTCAACGCCCAGATTCTGGGCACTTCAACCAATATTGGCTACATCATCATCGATCTTGACAAGGAGACCAGCCATGAGACCAAGACCGCAATCTCAGAACTTCCCACTTCCACCAGAACCAGAATTTTGTATTAGTACGCCACAATAGTGTAGCACCTCTGTTTAGATGACAAATACGCCCCATTTTCCATACCGGCTTTTGTACTTAAGATTCAATCATGTGTAGATCGCATAACCAGTAAGGCTGTCGAATTAAAGTTATGACATGGGCAAATGACATGAACAAGCAGCTCCTCGCATCCCGCCCGAATGATAGCGTATTCAAGCAGGCGCAAAAAGAGCTTCTTCGCATCTGCGCAAAATTTTTTTCTGTGCCGTGTAAAGCACATCTACTCCTGGTTCACGCCCGAGCGAGAATCGCACAGCCCTTTCGTCTTGTCCATACTCCTCCACGTGTTCCTGACCTATGGCTCATGTTTGGGAAATGGCCGAATCAGAAGCCACACGACTCTAGAAAGCGATAAGTTCGTGCAGGCTTGTCCCTCCTCGTACATCATGCAACTGAGAAATGATGTTAGCGATTCCTTTTTCAAGAAACCGAATATAGACTCACCAGTTCTAAGCTCGCCATTCAGCATCTAGGAAGCGCTAAAACCGGTGATGAATAAGCAACGGTCGTCAAGACACTTTCGCAACGCTACAGCATGGCCTTGACAATGCGGTACAAAACGTTTCGCAACAGTGGCGAAGAATTTTATTCTAATGCGGAGTACCTTCGTGACATATACCCTCCAAAGCTCATTACTCAACAAATGGGCTTGCTTTTCTACCAGAAGAGCTGGCATACTCCATCCATCAATTTGGTGGATTGGATTGAGGGCCGCATATTAGGTATGCGTGCATCCCTTCTAGCTGCATCTGCAATCGTGCACAAGCCGTCATGGAATGCCCAAATACGAAACACAAAGAAGTACATAGTAACTTTTAGGCAAGACCAGGGCGTCTCACCTACACAATCGAATCGAATTATCCCTGAAGCTCCCCTGTGATCTCTACATGGCTACATTTCTGCTGTAGACGCATGTGAAGGAAGGCAACTATGAAAGTGCCAACCGGTGTACGGGAAAACTTTTTCCTTCTCTGTAGCCGGGAAAGATCTCAAGAGTGAAGAATACTACAACTTGGTTTGACTGACCCTGAGTTGACTGATGATATGTGTATCAACGTTATATTGGTATTGTCGGTCATATCCTCTATCCCTCCTTCCTCGTATTCCGAACGATCAACTGCCTTGCACCAAACAACGATCCAGACGACAAAAAAATTCCATGTAGTCATTTCATCCTTATTGCACAATAACTCTCGTTGCAGAAGTATATACTCCGTGTGGATGCTGGCACATGTTTCCAAACTTGAAGTCAGTTAAAGAAAGAGTTCAACATCTACTGCCTGAGATTAGAACCAGAGTGAGGGCAATAACCACATCTCTAAGCATAAAGGAAGTCACAGGTACGTTGCATTGGCAAAGAAACAATCATATGTCGTGATAGGATGAATTATTGATTTGCCTGTATCCATACAGCCCTTGAATGACTAGACGATGTACCAAAGGGTGAAACAAGCTTGCAAACACCTTCAATCCCTTGAACCAAGGAGATTTTCCCAACTCTGATATATCTCGTTTGTCCAAACTCCGACACGGCGATACCCTAGAATGCCATCAACAGGCACTAGAATTGGCGCGTTTACCTCTCTTCCTTCTTCAATTCACTTCAAAGTCGTGATCCTAGTAGTTGGTCGCGACGATAGGGCCTAGCATAGTTCCGAGGCACAAATACAAAATAGAGTCCGATGGGAATGACCAGTAGTTGTCCCGAGATATGTTGATATCGCAAAACTTCCATTTACTAACGTTGTCCGTAAAGTCATGAAAACGCGTGTTTAGCCGGCGAGTTTGCTCGGATTTTCTGAACGCAAATCTTTCAAACAACGCGTTTGGCAAAACTCACAGCATACCGAAAACTCGGGGCATGTGAGTTTTCCACGAGTTTCACATCCGTGATCACAGCAGTGCCGGATCGACCCCTCGTGAAGAAAAACGAAGTTTGTCTTCCGTTCTTTTCATCAGCACAAACGAGTTTCAGACGGCACGGGTCGTATCGATATGCGTCATGGACGCTCCTATCGCTTCATCTGCGCAGAGTCCATCATTGGATCAATGCGCGACAGGATCTGCCACAGATGCCGCCGAAACAACCGCGGAAGATAGACAAGTAGAAGCTTCTAAAAAGAAGTCCTCTGTAAACGGCCCCCCTCAGCTTGTCAAGAAGACGAAACACATCGCCCTTTCGACTGAAAACCTTTCTATCCTTGTGGCGAGCTGCAATACAGTATTCGCTTCAGCGAGTATTCGCGCAGGTGCACGTGATCCGTCGGGCGGCACAACGATGTACCAGACTTGCGTTTGTTGCGGGCAGGTACCTTGCTGGAGGTCAGTCGGCAAAACTCGTCGTGGGATTTTTCAAACTCGGGTTTACTTTACGTCCAGCGAGTTTGTGGGCAAATGGAAAAAAACAACGCGTTATTTTACGGGCAACGTTACTCAACCTTCATTGCTTGCACCTTATTTTCTTGTGCTCTTGAATTCTTCATAGTGAGAACAATAAGTTGAGGCTTTATTCTAGATGCGACAACTGTTGACTTGTTTTTGATCCCCCAAAAAATGGCAGATGGGTTCGTGTTCTCCTTTGATGCAGAATGCCCATAGAGCTCCATTCTAATTCGCTCTTATTAGTTTGACAAACTGGGAAAAAAGCTGCAGAGAGTCTCTCAAGAATGCAGAATTTGGATGATAACTCCGCTACTCAATCCCGATCCTTTCCGGGGCAAACACAAGTCGGATCGCTAAATCAGGATAGCTTTGCATAAGATTCAATCAGATAAACAGTCCACATTGAAACCTAGACAGAAAACAACAGCGTAGCCCTATGCTATAGCGACGGAAGTGATTTTTTAGCATAACATCTAGTTCTTCGCAGATCTTCTTTACTCAAACAATTTTGTCGGAGATTCTGCCTTGATGAAGAACGATCAATAGGGACCTGGCAAACCAAGGTATTTTTACGCACTAAACACGGCTCCACTCTCCTAAAATTTTCGTCTCGGAGTGATATGCACGACTTTGCATTTCTTGTACAGTATGACATGCCAGTAGCTATCATCGGGTATTTATTACATCCCTGGAGAAGCGCTCAGTTGTTATTGATACCTTGATGCGAACAGAAGCAAACAGACTTCTCTAAATCAAGAACTTTAGGCTCCTCAATGATTCAAAATCAAAACAAAGGAGAAGCGCAGCGGAGCAACATGTTTACCACAATATGGTATTTCGACAGGGAGGTTGATCCGCCTGGGGGTGACTGAATAGGGCCATCGGATGCTATTGTAAATGCCTTAACATGTTGGTATGAACATGAACAACTGGTCCGCTAAACGAACACGACGCGCCTATCGGCGTTCGGTCTAGTAGCTTTCTTTGAAGTAGTGATGGAGTACCTCAGGTGTACTATTCGTTGTCAATAGGATTGATTTTGCGTATCAGCGCTGTAACAGAAGTGCTTTGATTCTGCCTTTGATGGCTCTACACTATGAAATGATGCTCCTTTGTGACGAAGATATTATTGAGGACACATCATGAAAGACGAATTACTCGGGAAACTGCTCGTGCGTTCCTCTCACTCTCAGCTCACACTTTCACACGCAAAAAAGCATAATTGTTAGAATGTGTCCCTCAACGGTATCGAGTGCCACACACCATGTGTGGAGTTTATGATGAAACAATGAGAACTCTACTATATGAAGAGCTCGCTCGATATATGTCGATCTGAGCCATCTCCTGTGCTTCACAAGTTTTGCATATTTTGAAAGAGAGTAGGCCATGCGTGATCATCCTTGGCGAACGGGTCTCAGTTGCTGGGAGATCCACATGTGATGAATTAAAAAAAGCTATGAGAAATTCCCTACAGAATGAACATCTGCAATACATGCCAATCAAGTTCGATCCTCTGGGTTATCGCACACCGATGCTACTGCGGCACGAAATGTTGATACAATATCACGTTGATAGATGTTCCTACAATCTTTTAGATAATGAAGACCAGGCGATAGATGCTCTCACAGATGTAAGGCACAACCTCCATGAACTCAGAACCATGATGCTTCGCATTACATTGATACCAGCAAAGTTTCGAGGATGAGTCCCTCACATCCATGAAAGAACAACGGAAATGATTATCTAGAGGGCTCAATTGGCTTCCCATTGCTGAGACTTTACCGATGCGTGCGCATGGTTTGTGATATTTCCACAGGCGGACGGGAGGAACCGGAGGGTGGGCTTGCAAGACTCGTGCTTCCGACTACAAACTATCTGCTTATCCTTTCGAAGCAGTTGAGCTTTCTTGAGGTACAGGCAAAGCACATGGAGGTTGAGTTTGTTCGAATCCTCTTTCTTTTCATGCAGTCCTTGAAACGGTGACACCTTAGGGAACTGGAGACTCGTTAGCTTCATCTCAAGAATCTGCCCCAAGCACGACAGACGTAACGACTGAAGTCAGAAACTGTTTCTTATCCCAATATACCTCATGGAAAAGACCTTCAGACAAAACTCTGCCCCTCTCACAACATTTGATTGAATCATTGAGAAATTTTGACTAGCTGGTATTGTTGTGAAATGCGTTGCAAAAGTCATAACTTTGTTCGTGCACTGGGCTAATAGAGATGTGAGCTAGAGCAGATACGCTCAGGATTGATGTATTTATATGAACTCATTGTTGCGGTCACCACTAGCTTTGTGCGGGTGCTTTTGAAGCCCATTTTTGCCGATTCCAGGAAAGACGTACTGTACTTTACCAAGCACTGACTTGTCTGTGGGAATAGGGCGATTCACAATTCTATAGAATGGAGTTCTGAAGCTTCGGGAAGGCCAGAGAGTGACATAATCAGAAAGGCCGACATGGACTACGCTTCTCCCAACTTGCATCCTCCTTTAGCCAATCACACTAACATGCTATGCCTTTCAAGAGAGAGGTGCAAAATAATACTGTACTGGTCAAGTGCGTAAGACCAAAGATAGAAACGGGCTTTCTTGTGTGTACAACAAGTCTGTCAATGCATTCTTCCTATTGTCGAGATTGTATGCTTGCAGCATGACTACGAAACGAGAACATCCTCTTTGATTTTTTCACAAGCCATGGGTAAGCGGAAATGAGCTGATCG